AGGAGGATAAAGAGTGAGGATGTGAGCAGCTTGGAAGTCCGCGGCCCGCCCAGCTCACCTCCAATCTCGGGTCTCCGCCGGTAGAGCAGCACGCCCACACTGATAAAAGCAAAAATGGTGAAGAGGGTGACGGAGAAGGCCAGCGTGCCAGGTGAGACTTGGAAGACTTGTCCATGCGCCGCGTGGTAGATGGCTGCGATGGACCAGGCTACCCCAATTCCCAGGAAAACGTTCACAGCATTGCTCCCGGTGACATTCCCGATGGAGGCGTCTGCATACTGGTCCTGTGTTGCTGCTACTTTGCTGGCAAATGTGTCTGCAAAGAAAAGGAAGAGAGAAACCCTCAGGAAACATCCAGGTAAGGAGGGAGAGCAGCAGGCAGCCTGGGGACAAATGTCAATGGCCACACCTGGGGAAAGAAGATAATGGGTAAGGGGATAGGGTACAGCCATTCTGTGGGCACTCCTGAGGAAGAGCACAACTGGCCAGAGCCAGAGTGACAATCAGGGTCAGAAATGCACAGGAGGGAAATCTCAATGTTCAGAAATATGGCCTCAGACGTCCTGCAGTTCTTCAAGCAAGAGACAACACTACACTGCATTGGCCTCTTCTCCCACATCCACTAATTTGTTCACTTGCAAAAAAACTGGAAAGGTTGGAAAAGTTTTGTGGAGCCACAGTGGTTTGTATCTATCCTTCAGGTCCCCTGAAGTTCTTTTTGTATTTCTGAGTTTGCTTTAATGTTGTTTTTCTGATATCTTTTGTCTCACTGAAGTCCAGTGACCTTGACACTTTTGGTAAACCAGAGGTCATCTTTCACCCCTTGGGAAGAAAAACCATGTAGAATGGTGCATGCTTGCCCAGGTGCTCCATTGGCTTTAATATCAGTGATAAAACTTGGCTGACCTTTTATATGGAAACCCTTGTGTCAAGCAGACCAGCATGACGTTGCTCTGCACCACAGGGAAGTGCTGATTTTACATCCAAACCCACTCTGGATCTGCAGGGGGAGGCAGCAGCAGGAGGGACTAGCCTCCAGGTGAGCGCTCTCAGCTAACAAAGAGAAGATGAGTCTCTGACATAGCTGCACTCCCAGATCACCTTGGGTACAGGCAGCCAAGTGTGGCTCAGAAAAAGAAAACAGTGAGGTCAAATTTCATGTTTTAATTCTATAGAATTTTCCTTCCACTCCTTCCCAGTGGGGCTCCAAGGTGAGATGGCCAAGTGCAGTTTGGCACAAAGATCCCATTCCATGTAACATATGTGGGCACATATAAGCACAGAGAGAGGGTTCATTTGCAGCAAAGAAATCAAAAGGCTGCTTTATTTAGATAAAAAAGCACAGCTGCCATGGAAATGCACCTGGTTGCTAAGGAAAGGAAAAGGTATTTCCCTTGTTTCTCAGCCTTGGTCACAGTGCAGTAACGGAGTTGTGGGGCAGTACTGATGCCTCTGTGGCTCTCCATATGCCAGCGTGGGAGAAGGAATGGGACACACTGCCAGTGCCAGGCAGAGCGTGGAAAAAACTACATGCACTTCCACAAGCCTGAGCAGTGTTTTCAATGTAGGGAAGGTCCCTGTCAGTCTTGATTTCACTGCACACCCCTCTGATGCCTGCCTGTCTCCCGGAAAGCAGGTGTGGAGGAGCCCAACTAGCACCCAGCTAACACAAGAGGTCTGGGAGCCAATTGAAACAAGAGAACCTGAATGTATTCTAAAAAGAACTTCTTAAATGCCACCTTTTGTCGACAAAAGCAGGAGGGAAGATTTTTCACTGTCAAGGGTGTGAAGCAGCCCTGCAAACCTCCTGCCTAAAAGTTCTACTGCCAGAGGTCTAAAAAACGCTCCTTCTTCTCAAATCTCAGATTTGGGTGCCTTGCTCCAAATCTGTTCTTCCTTTTGGTTATGCTGCTTCTTCTTTTTGCCTTTGATAACATTAGGACAATTTCAGGATCTCTGAGCATTTGAGTGCTGGTAAGTGGAAGTTTGAAGGTGGTGAGGGAAGGTGTGACCGATACGAGGGGGGGTTGGGTTGGATTAGAGCCCCTAGTCCAGGAACCAGGCTCTGCCTGGCCAGCACAGCCCATAGAAGAGGTGAGTGGAAGGCATAGGCTTTCTCACACAAGCTGACATGGGAATTCCCAGAGCAACTGTGCCACTGGAAACATCCTCTCCAGTGCACCAATTCATCCCTAAGTGAAGCCCTTTGCTGAGCCAGTGGAAAAGGAGGCTGGGTTGCAGCAAGCCAGAATGCATTGGGAGTGGTGTGTAGGCATGAAAACTTGTGGTTTACCCTCTCCCTGGTCAATCCTCAGTCTCTGCTCCCTTCTGAGTCTGAGTGCCCATTTGATCAGACACCATGCCAAATATTTGTGGGGCCCCTTCTAGGGGCTTCACGAGTTGCATTTCAAGCAGCTCCCCCAGCTCAGCAACCTCACCTTGATCCATCTGAACGTGGTCTCACACAAAGGTGTCCGTGCTGGGCAGTGCACCCTGGGTATGGACTAGCACTTAAATCACCCAGGAGCAAGGTTAAAGCAGCAGATGCGTAAAAAGAAAGTGCAGGACTGCCAACACCAGCAGCATTTGAATCAAAGACCAACTTCCTACTCTGAAAGTGGATGCCACGCAGGTTGCCCACAGAAGTAGGTACTTCACAGTCTTTGCAAGATGAAGGTCCTTGAAATACTTTCCATGGGACTGAACCCACATCCTGGTTCTATCCTGGCTCATCTGAGGCTGAAAAACAACTTCCACACGTACCTCAAATCTGTCCTTCAGGGTCCTGCAAAGCACAGCTTTCCCAGCCCAAAACCAGACCCGGACTGAGCAGAGGCGGGCCTTTACAACAAACCCTGTGGTTGTCCTTACCTGGCACCGATGTCCCCAGCGCGACAAATACGACGGCGGTGACCGAGTCCTTCAGGCCGATGGTGCAGCCAAAGTGGGATGCCAGGTCGCCAATGAAAGCTGTCAGGAGGCCGATCATGAGGATGGAGACAACAAAGCAGGCCCAGCCATTCCAGTAGTCTGTCGGGGGCACGAAGGCAAAAAGGACCTTCCAGAAGACGGTCAGAAAGTGCATCACATAGTCAAAGCAGGAGGGCAGTTTCTCCTCCCCACATTCATCGTCATCGTCATCTTCCCCTGGAGAAAACCAGCAGTGCCTGATTAGACTTGCCTACTCTGGGGGAGGTTGGGAAAAGTTCCTGTGCATACTGCAGTCTACAAAGTGCTGTCTCTCAGGATTTGGATCCTAGAAAGCCTTGACTTTCAAGTATCTTATTTTCTGGGCAACCATCAGAGGGGCTCGATGGCCTTTCCATGCCCCTTCCCACAGCACAGAGAGACTCCCTGCAAAGGCAGTGGTTTAAAAAAACCACCTGCACTTCAGAAAATGCAGAGCCTCATGCCAGCACCTCTGCCTGAGTTTAACCATCAGATGCTTCCTGGGCCTCAGTCCCTGCTCAAGAGCCCTTTCCCCAGAAGATGTGGGAAATAACCGAACTCATGCCGGCTGGAGCTGACTGGGGCAGGTGAACCCACTGAAAGCAACATGTACCTCACAGAGACTCCCCTAAGGAAGAACCTTTTGATCTGCTTTCACAAGTGCCAGCTGGTTTTGGTGGTTGATGAGCTGCTAGCTCTGGTGCTTCACCTTACCTTTTCTGTAAACCGGGATCCAGCCATGGATTTTTGCCTCCCCTAGAACCTCCTTAGCCCATCACTGCTGACTGTCCTTCCCTGTTGCATTTCCCTGCCCTTTCACATGCCTCCCTATAAGCTCTGTCTGCTCGTTCCTCTGTGTCTGGTCTGACCCAGGTCAGGGGGCACTCCCAGTGCACAAAAAAGCACTTTCCCATTTGCGCTCCTTTCCAGGTAGTTGTCAAGCACCCCAGGTCATGAGCCAGTTATGGGGCATCATCTGTCACAGCAAAAATGTATTTTCCTTCTTCTTTTTATTTTCCGTCCCTGATCCATGTCAGTGTTTCACTTCTTATCAATCTGTTGTTAATGCCTTGCAGGGGTCATTTTCCCAGTGTGAGCCTGCCAGCAGTCATGGCTCTACCTCTGCTCACCAGGCACATTGCGTGGGTCAGACCCTGCCTCTCCTGGTGCTGTGCTGGGCACTCAGCCCCTCCCAGCCCACCCCTGCTCATGGCTGTGGTCCCTGTGGCACCTGCAAGACCTGGTCTCCAGTATGGATGAGGAGTTGGGGATGAGTCCTCATGCCCATCCTGCCTGATGTCCCAGGGGCTCTTGACCCTGTGGGGGAATGCTGCTGCATGTCCCCAAAGGCTCTCAGGGAGTTACACATTCACAGCCATGGCCCCTGGATGTGCAGGCAGGCTCTTGTCCAAAAGCCCTCCTGTGGGTCACAGGGAAGGAGTTCAGCAGACAGCGGACTGTCCTTACCCCCTGCCCTGGTTTCTTGGCCCTTTCCCCTTACACTGGCCCAGTTCATCTTCGTCCTGGCAGGACCATGGGGTGTTGGTCCAGGCAGGTGTCTTGGTTTCTCCCTTCCCTGCTCCCGGCATTGGCAACTCACCTGTCTCTCCAAAACCAGTCGGCATCCATGGAGCCCGCACTGTGTGGGGCTTACCCTGCCAGTGAGCCCATTGGGGCTGGTGACCTCCTGCCTGACTCCCACAGCTCTGCTGAGCCATCTCATGAGCCTGCTGGGCAGCCTGTCCTCTGGGCAGCCTGCATAGCAAATGTGGAGTGTCCCCAGCCTGGCACAGTGCATAATGCCAGTGTGGTGGGATAGATAAAAACCGCTCCTGCTCTCAACTGGAACCACTCTCAGACATGGAGGGGAGGTGACGCTCTTCCATCTAAGTCAGAGGGAGCCTTCCTGTTTCCCTTAAGGAACAAGGATGCATTTCTATGTCATGAACGTCAGGGATTCCAAGGCCACTGCAAATTGTGTTAAAGGCATCCATTGTACTCTGTTTGGTGATATTTTATTGTCTTTGATACTTTTTTTTCCCCACCAAGGATGTGGACTAACAGATCTCCCTGCATGGCTGTTGGAAGGAGCTCCTTACCAATGGAAGGATTCAATATATGGTCCATGCCCATCAGACAGCTTGAGTGAGTCTGGCTCTGCTTCCAGGGAGGACACCTCAGAATAGCAGAGAAAAGGGTCCAAGACCCGGAGTAGCCAAGAGCACCCAGTGAAACCTGAGCCTCTGCTCTGCTCCACTACAGTGGGCAAGGGGACAAGGTCCCAAGGGTTTAAGGGGATGTTGGCTCTATGCCTGGGAAAAGAAGCTTCTCCCAGCAGCTCCCAGTGCTAATCAGGCCAGCATTCCGAATGAGACTGTGTTGCTTTTACCTGCCCTGCTCCTGGGCAGGGCGAATATTCCTCCTTTCACATCTTCCTCCACAGTGTGGTTCTCTGATGGAATAACAAAATGTATAAAGCCTCCCATGGGGTGAATAAAACGGTCTTGATTGTATATTGTGTACCAACATGTGGGTATCAACTAACCCCGTGTTCAAATGGTGGCTCTGTGCCACAACAACAGAGTTACTGGGGGAAGCTGCTGGTGAGCTGCTTGCTCACAACAACAAGTGCTTTCTGCCTCATCACAAAGGTGAGAAGTCAACCAGGGAAACAAGACATGGCATCCTTCCTGGGAAGGAGGAGGCCAAATGGACATAATCTTTGGAGGTTTACAACTAAAGCCATGACCAGCCAGGGAAAAGTTCTACTCAGCATCTTGTGGGGGTGCAGCTTTGCAGACATTGCTTGTCTTCAAAGCACTTTTGCTGATGTCTCTACCGTAACTTGATGAAAAATTATGCATTGCTTGGCTTCAAAGCTTCAAACTCACTATGACAAAAGCAGTAGCTAATCATCAGCATCGCGTTATTGTTTTGGCAGATATAAGTACCTATTCCTGTGCCTAGTCGTGAAGTTTTCCAGCCTGGAAAGCCTACATGGGCCTATGTTTTTCCTCAATGCACAAAGGCTGATAGTGGCAGGATACACTGTGCTGTGCTATAATTTTGCAGCAGGTATTTTAATCCCCTGCCAAGCTGCATGGCAGCAGGGCTGTTATGGACCTAAATCTTTACAGAGATGATGAAACAGATTGAAAAATGAATATGAGTGCCACTGCCATAACACTCATCCACATCTGCCCATCATTATGTTGAGCAGCTCCCTTTTGAAGAGCTGGCCAGATCCTGTGAAGGTGACTTGAAACGCAGAGTGATGTCGGATGGTGACCCAGGGGTGCATTCAGGAACAGGCTCGCAAACCCCAGGATGTTTTTGCTGTGGAAGAAACTTTACAGCTGTTGGGTGCACACTAAAGGAGCTATGGGTGAGAGGCTCATGGACAGTGTGGAATGGCATGGCATGGTGTGGCACAGCCGTGCCTGCACCTGCACTGCCCTTCCACAAGCTTAACCTGCTGCTCCATCGCCCAGCCTCCCTGCAAACACTGCTGTAAGTTGCACACTGGGTGGGAAATGGGGTTTTAATGTTTCTTTTCTCAGCTGGGATGTTACATTTTGAAGTGGAAATGTGTGACTTTCACCTGCTCTCCATGGTGAGCTGCAGGGAAAAACCTCAAACTCAGCCTCCAGTGTCTAAGGTATTTTAACTTGTCTGGCTGAAAGGTTGAGGAGCTAAAGCCTGGGTATGTCCAGAGCTCAGAGACAACCTACTGTTTCCCAACTGCAAAGCACAGTTAATGTCCACCAAAATGTATCCCATTTATTAAATGTTTGTTAATCATCCTGTTAGCATTGATCATGACTATATATTCAAGACATGGTGGTAACAGGGCTTTCACATAACTGTAGTCTTTACATGTGTCACAGAAACAGGATCCAAGCATCAGTGATTATCTTTGCCTTAATATGGGATGCAATTAAATAATTGGTTCTGGCATAGATTAGTTTAGCCATGTTAGCTAGAAAACCTGCAGCAAGGATTGTCTTGCACGATATGTTCAGGCTGTATCCAAGATAATGGGAGGCTCTTGCCTGGAGGCTCTGAGAAAAACTATGCTACAACAGAAGGGATCGCAATTTGAAGAGATAGCTGCTGCACAATGTCCTGTCCTTGTTTTCAGAGGCAGAGGTTAAATGGGACGGCCATCACTTTTAATTACTCTGTGCTGGGCAGACGTTACCTTGTATAGCTGCGTTCGAGGTAGGAAATGTAAGTGCTCCCCCATGCATTTCAGTGCACAATTAGCTAGATGAGCTCTAACTGCCATCCCCAGAGATTTAATTTAAACTGGTTGATTTTGCCCTAATGTGTGCACACAGAGCCCAGGCTGGGCTGGGAGGTTGTAACATCCAGTCAGTGAGTTATCGTCTCTCTGTCTGTTAAAACAACATCTGGAGGAGATCTTCTTTCTCTCATCTTCCACAGATGTGGGAACAATAATATATCCTGTACTGGGCATACTGGTAAACATGGCACCGGCACCTGCGAGAACTGTACAACAGGGCATTTCTGAGGGAAAGACAATTCTCCAAGGGAGGGAAGATATGATCAGATATGATCAGACCCAACCACAGCTACTACATGTTGCTGCAGTTATTGGGATGCTGAGCCATAAACCTCCAGCCGCAGGTGGCTGGAGCAGCAGGAGTTCCTGAAAGCAGAGGGTGTCAAAGGTAAATTTTGGCTCTCAGAGAGTCACTGTCTTCAGGGCTTGGCACCCTCAGTACTGCGCTGCCCTCAGTGCAGCGGTACAGGGAGAACCAGGGATGGGGAGCACTGCTGCCTGGCACCAACATCATCTGTGCCTGTCTGAATTTCAACACCGAGTTCATCTCCCAGATCTCTCCCACTGAACTTGCTTTTCCCCTCTGCCGTCTGGTGACAGCCAGAGTGTTGCTCTGTCCAGCACTACAGACACACTTAATGCATCAGGTTTCCTACACATAAGACAAGGATTTAATCAGCTGCCTTATTTATGCAGATACTGTAAATAACTCTGTTGGCTGTTCTGCCTCCTGCTGCTCCTCTACAGCCTGTATTACTGATGCAGCCAAGCCGAGTAGTGAGCAAGGCTGATTGTAATTCACCTGGAGCTGTGGTCCAAACTCACCCGCGCTGACAGTAATAGCCTCAATAAACTGCTCCCTCCAGCTGTTTGTGCCAACCACCAGGGCCAGGTTTGTCTTCTTAATGAGCTTGTCCACTGTGTTCTGTGGATAGAGATGCAGAGGAGAGAATTAGGGACTATCAGGCTGGAGATACTGGGCTAAAACCCACTCACACTGGTGCTTACAGCCATGCATTTATAGAAAAAGCTTAGCAGATTTTAAGCTCCGGTCAAGAGCCCCAGCAGCAAAAACAGCAACTCTCCCCTCTGCTGCTAAAAAAGACCTTTTGAAGCTTGCTCATGATGGGAGTTTGAAGCATCTCAGAGACACAGTAAGGGTGGTCTGTTATTTTTTTATACTTCAGAAAAGTGGAAAAGAATTAAATGGCCGGTTTTCAGCTCTTGGTCTGGCACATGCATTCATGGCAGCTGAGCTGCACAACCATTACTTGCATTTAGGGTATCAGCCCTCTGCACTGGGAGTCCTAAGCCTGTAAGTAGGACCTGTGCGTAGCACACCACCGTGAGAACAAGGTTATGTTTTAAAGCAACCTGCAGCATTTTGGACCTCAGTCAGCTCTTATGCTCACCAGACTGAGGTTCTAGTATAATAATAACAACCACAAAGAGTCTGTGGGTGGGACAGAAAGTCCCCGAAGGACCATGGCTGTGGGCTAAAATGGACAGTGAAGATGCAGAGTGTATTTTAACCCACTGCCATCTCACTGTAGTGACCCTCAGCCTTTCATCATGCCTTGGCTCAGTCACCTTCCAAAGTGTCCCTTGGTTCTGCTCTGAGACCTTGTGATGCCACGTGTTACCTCGCTTTGCTGCAATACCATCAACGTGTGCTTGCCAATGCTGTGCCAACCCAAAAGGAGGGGCCCCAGCCAGAGAGGAAGAAGAACAGGGACAGAGGATGTGGACAGTACCTTGAACTCGTAGGATTCCTCAATGATGATTTCGAGTTTGGTGTGCTCCCCCAGGACTGGGCGCCCCATCTCTGCAATGCGACGCTCCTCCTCCTCCTTGCTGGTCAGTGGCTGCTTTTCCTCATTCTCCTCTGCAAAGCAAAGAGCCCATCAGCGAACCAGGCCCAGCTGGTCACTCTCTGGATGTGGCTTCCTGTCAGAGGGGGAGGTCAGGAAGCCTCCATGTGGGAGCATGAGCGACAGAACAGTGGAGAAGGAGCTCATGGAGCAATAGACAAGATAGTTTTAGGGAGAAGCACTAGCAAGAGGTCTGCAACTCATCCAAGTTCAGAAGGAGTCCTGTTCATCCTTAGTGCTGAGGAATAGTTTTATGCCTGGTACCCACTGCCTCTCCACAGGGATGCTGGGAAGGGGAAAGATTATCACTAGGGCTGCTCCATTTCCCAGCACTCCAGGTCTACAGTGGGGTATGGTCAGGACAATTCCATCAGCCTGTTACAACAAGAGAGAGCTACCAGCAACCCCAGGGCTGAGACGCATATGAAATCTTGGCTCTGCCTCCTTCTGAGCAGGGTTTTGCCTCAGAGAGGAAGCTGGCAGTCAACTCCTGCTGCGATGGTGGGGCTGGAGGAAATAATACTGGGCCATCCGGGTGTGAGGAGTCATCCAAAGGCCAGTGCCTGGCCCCAAACCCTGAGAGAGGCAGCAGCAGAGGGACTACACAAGCAGTGAAGCAGGTCTGCACCTCCACTGGCATCCCTGCAACCTCTGGGGCATGGGGACTGCAGCTCATGGCCTTTGTCACTGTCCCTTGTGCAGACCCCACTAAACTCCCTTCCAGTCCACTTGAGGGATGAGCAGAAGAATGTCAGGACTAAAAGGACTGGAGTTAAACTGTCACTAGGCACACACCGCAGTCAGTCCACATGGGATTGATGTGGCCCTCAGGTGTCACGCTATAGGTACCTTGGATGGAGACCACGGTGCAAGGAAGAGGATGATCTCTAGCCTGGACCTTCCTGAAGATGGGTTTTCCTATCAAAGTGATCAGCAGGACATCAGGAGGAGGGACTGGACACCCTGTGCAAACTGTCACCGTGCAGTTAGTAAACTATTCCTACGTCACACGGGGTTAGTGTTGCTCCCTTGCTGGCTGCCCCTCATCTGCACAGACAGCAATAAGTTGCAGGAAAGCCCTTTTCCTCCTGCTTGTCAAAGGGACCCACCTCACTGCCAAAGCTTCCTAGGTCTGAATTATTGTTTCCAGGGCTCCTGAGGGGCTGCTCTGCAATGTGTGGGACCCAGGATCTTCTCGTCCTGCAGTGCTTGGCTGAATGACAGATGCTTGGCTGGCTAATGACAGAGGAGCAAGCCCTGCTGCTGGGTCTCACTGGTGGGAGGGCAGGGGCTAAAGCATCCTGCCCCTCCCACAGTGCTTGGGCACCCTGGTGGCTGCCTGGGGAGGACAGAGCCCTGTGCACACCTCCCGTGTGGGCAGCACGGAGGGGACAACTGGATCAAGTGGAGAAGCCCACCTTGCTCCAAGAGATGAAGTGGGGCTGCTTGTCACTTCAGGAGTGACAGCTCACCCTCCCCGAGGTGGAGTTAGGTGTGTGTGGCAGGCAGAGCACTCTGTGAGAGGACACTGTGTTAGAGAGACCGGCTGGGGCAGTGGGGCCACAGCTCAGCGCCTTCTTACCATTCCAGAGTTTCCCTCCAGGACAGAACAAAAGCAAAGAGGAAACCAAGAGGAAAGAGCAAGGTGAGCATATGGCCATTAAGAGAAAGGAAGCGGGGGATAGGGGGAAGACTAGAAATCCATACCTGTGATGGTGAAGCCACCTAGATGAAACCAAAAATGAGAGAGAGAGAGAGAGAGAGAGAATAAATGAGGATTAGCATTCACACAGCAACACAGACACCTTGCAGCCCACAAGGTGGTCCTTCCCTGCTCCATGGCCAGGAACTGTGGACATGGAGGCTGCTTCTCAACACGTACCCCAGGGATAGTGTGGGGAGACCTGAACACAGGCTTTTCAACCCACATCTGCAATCTGCCACCCCCTGGTATCCAGTATATGCTGTGGAGGGGGTAAAACCAGTGTGAGTCTGCCCCAGGGCTGTGGGTGCTTTGGGGAAACAGGATGGCTTTGCTTCCCTTCCCAGCTGTCCTATTCTGGAAATGACCAGCAAGGAAATGCAAAGGCTGGATAGGCTCTGAGTCTTCCCAAGACAGGAGGCAAAGTTTGCACTGTCTCTTCAAAACAGGACTGGCCAGTTTTCCTGTCCAGCCACAAGCATCCCTAAGTCTCCAAGAAATCCTGTTTCTGCCACACTAGTGTTAGAGGGGATGGGTTAATTTGGATGCCACAAGCCTGTATCATGGCGTGTTGGCAGGTATACTATGGCCGTAACTGAACCACCCCCAAAAAATGCTCCTTGCCACAGCGGATTACCACTCATTAATATTGGTGACTTTGGGACTCTACTCTAAAGAGACATGGGGCATTAGATATCTGGGTTTAATTAAATAGTGCTGATGACCCTAAAAGAGAATGCTGCGAGCAAAGAAAAACTTCAAGCAAAATCAATTGTCTTCTGAAAACACACAAACTGGAAAAATGGAAAGGAAAAATGAATGCGCGCTTACCAAGCTCATTCAACAACAGGGCTGTGAAGGAGACAGAGACAAACACAGAAGAAGAAAAGTAAATGAATAATGAAATCAAAAGGGATATCCACAGAAAGACACCAGATCCCAAGGCAGAGATTTCAGATCTGTAAGGCTGCAGGATACCATTAGTGTTAAGAGAAAGGCACTAAAAATAAAGGAACAGAAAGGTTTCATGGGATTGTGGATTTAAAATAAAAACCATTGCAAACATGGGGTGGATATGGGATTAAAAGACACACTCCAAAAATTAGTTTTCCCACTTTGAATTTTATGTGCAAGATCTTCCATTGGTCTCGGAGGCAGTTCTGCCCCAGGGGAGGACACAAGATGTCCCATGTGCAGCAGCTACTGGCTTTGACCTCCTCCAGCTGTCCAATGGGGAGCAACATCTCCAGCATACAGCTGTACTTTTGTCATATGCAATGAGAGAACAAAAGTCTGTGGCAAGGCTTGGCTCAAGGATCTTGTTGCTCAAAATTTTAGGTCTCCAAAAAGAAAAAGCCTCTTGCTTAGTGCGCCGGTGGGTCTCACACCCCTGAGATGCAGACCCCAACACAGCTCTGTGGCCCAGGGGTGACATTACAGAGATGCCCTTGTCTCTGGGCTGCCCTTGTCACCACTACCTCTGCCTGTTGTACAAAACCAAGTACAAAGAAACGAGTTAAAAATAAAAAAGATTGCATGGCCAAAGCAGCAAATAGCACCCCTTAAAATTCTGACTTGTCTTCCAGCCAGTGAGTTCTCAAAGCTCAGCTTCTCTCAGTTTTCCTCAGTTATCTTTGTGACCAGGAAAATGAGAAACTTTATTTCCTTTTCCTTTTATTTTTAGCTAAAACTTTCAGCTGGGATCTACAGAGTTAGTACCACAATTCTCAAACTTGGCCCTGGAAAGCATATTTGCCCTTGCTGGACTTGCAAGGCTGAGCCCACACTGGCCCTTGTGAAGCTGGGCAAAGCTGGAGCTGCTGAGTTGTCCACGTGTAAATTTATCTTGGCAACATTCTCTATGCTCCATAGATGCCACCAGCACCATTTAATGATACAGACCCCACCTGCAGTGCCTGAGTCATGCCAGTGTGTCTGATTTTTTTAGCCCAGCTTTTGCTAGCTGGTCACATAAACCAGCAGGAAAGCTGATGGAGGGGATGACGCAGCTGACCTAGACAGTACCTGAGCTGAAGAGGAATGTGGCAAGTCCCCACTCAGTGTGGGGCCCTCTCTGTCCTCTCTGTCAAATAATATATTACAGCCCCATGCCTACTGAAGGGAGCACTGATGTCCCAGAAACTAGAAAGCAGCTCCAAGGCAGACAGAGCAAATTAGGCTGCCAAATTTCAACAAAGGCTTTAATAATGGTCCATATCTTAAGCGGCTCTAAAACTGCTTCTTGCTCAGCCATGAATAGCATGCAGAACTAGCTGCTGCCATTAATTTTCACCCTTTTTTCCAGCAGAAAAAATACGTGGGAAAATTGGTGAACTCTGCCTTTTTGGGAAGTTTTGCAGTTGGTTCAAAAATGTGATGAAAGAGGAAATTGTTTTTATTATTCCTGTGAGAAGCTATTATCCAATGCAGAGCCATGAAACTTCATTTGAGTATAACCTGATTTACCTAAAGTGATTGCATCTCATGGTACTACCTGCTTGTGCTGTGATTTTCAGCTATTTTCAGATCCTAGTGCCAGCATAAAAAGGCTAAAATTACTGCTCTGGCCATGCATTTGATTTCAAGTGAAAGCTGTTTTATCTTTTGATAAAAATGATGCAGCGTTGCCTTTTTACTTGTCGAGACTGAACATTCTACATGATTAAACGAAGGTGTAGCTGCAACATGGCAGGGCAGTTACTCTCAAAACATCTCTGGGGGCTGGCAATGCTCATTGTCCCCTGCCCAGGTGCTCCGGGGCCATCCTGGGAGCATGCCTTGCTCCCCGGGGGCCCTGGTGAGTGAGGCAGAATCCTCTCAAAATGACAGAGGAAAGAAAACAGAGCAAAAAGGTGCAGCGGCCAAGATTCGGAGGAGGAAGGGCAAAACGGCCAGGAGCCAAAGTGCGAGGAGAAAGGAGTGTGAGAGTAGGAAGACACAGAGAAAGCGGACGGCAGCGTCTCGAGAGCTGGTCTGGTTTTACTCTCACACCTTTCACTCCTCGTCGTAGCCACACTGGATCCCCAAGCACAAGGAAGAAACTGCACTCTTTCTCATACTCCTCACGGTCAAGTACTCTAAGGGTAATGAATTTCCTGTGGGAACACAAGACAAAGGCAAACACATGATTGGCATCGAACACACATGCAGTTCACGTCCGCCCGGGTGCCGTGGTGACAGAGATGGTTGGGTGGGGGAAAGCGGCTGCACATCCCTCCTGGGGCATATGGGGAAGGGCAGGAGCATCCCCACCACCTGGCCAAGGTTGTAGCTTGGTGAGCTGGGGAAAGGCCGTGTTCAGAGGGAATGGGAAGTGGTCTTGCTCCTGCCCTTTTCCATAGGCTCTGGGGATGTGAGCTCGGTGTTGCAGGTGCCAGACATGAGTGAGCCAGACAGGGACACACAGGCTGGGCTCAACCCCGGAGCACGTCCCCCACCTTTCTTCTCACTCATCTCCACCAGCCGGGGTTCCCCGATCTCTAGGTAGAAGGTCTTGTTTTTCTCATACTCCTCATCATCTATCACCTTGATTGATATCGTTTTGCTGCAACAGAGAAGAAGAAATAGAGATTCAAGAGTAAGGGGGGAAAAGGGGAGAGGGGAAACAGGAAGAGGAAGAAAAGGTAGAAGAGGAGGAAGAGGAGGATGGAAACAGCAGGAGAAGGGGGCTGCGAACAGAAAACAGTGGTTTTGGTAGCACAGGCTGGAGGGACAGCACAGCCAAAAGCAAAGGCAGGAGCCAATGGACCAAGCTTGCCTCAGGATGAGCACAGACCACAGGGTCAGAGCACCAGCAGCTTGCAGGGTGCCATCCCCCCTGGCATGGCCATAGGCCAATACAGCCTGGGCCAGCTTCCCCTAGAAGTGTCTTGGGGGGGCAGTGGGGGCAGCAAGACACCTCCCTTTCCAAAAACCTAGGGTACCGAACAGCCCCTTGATAGCCTGCACACACTACATGGGCATGAGAACTGGGAACAAGCACAGACCAAGCCTCTGAAAGCATGATGCACTGCTCAAGCTTGTGCATGGAAGAGACTCTGTCTCACCAGGCACAGCAGATCCATGCACAACATCATGTTCAGTTGCTCGGTTTGGACTTTGGAGGCTCTAATTTACAAGCTTGAAAGAGATGTTGGAGTAGGACTTTTTCTGTGAAGAGAATGTAAAGGAAAAATGGTCTTTCTGGTTAGAGCAGGGTGATGGAAAGCTTCTCTGATGGTGAGATTTTACTTTTTTAATTTCACTTCACAAGCAGCACATCCTTTCCCAAGCCTTCAAGGTTTAATTTTCTCCTGTTTGAGAGTTGAGCAGCAATTCTCCCTCACATGACCCAGGGTTGCTCAATTTGCCCCTGCAGCAACATCAGGACAGGTCCAAAGGCAGAGTCCCTGCCCAGAGCATAGCCACAAGTACACATCACAGAAGATGAAAGCCTTGCAGGAGGCTGTGGCCACCCACAGAGAGGTTTGCTCCTTGAGCCCCCAATAAAGTGAAAATTGCTTTACCGGGGGAAAAAAATTAGCACAGAAGAAGTTTTTCAGCTCTTTTCAGGGACTGAAAACAGTCCAGAAACATCCAGCTGAAAGCTGCTCACCAGAAGGTGACCAAACCTGGGATACAAGGGGTATGGTGTGGGGGGACCGTGCTACTGTGATCCTTCCTACAGTGCAAAGTCCTTGGAAAGACAACATATGAGACAGAAATCCAGCAGCCTCTGCTCTGCCCTGGAATGCTCTGCTCACTGTCATGCACTCATGGCATTGCGGATGGGACAAGACCTCCTCCTGGCTCTGACCTTGTCCCAGACAAAACATAAGAAGGAATAACAACACTAAAAAGCCAGTGCAGTGACTGTCTGTAGCCTTGTGCTTGCTGCCGACCTTCTGACTGGGTTTGCTTTCCCCCGACACTTGACAGCACTGCCCTCCTGTGAATGCTCTTAAAGAAGCTTCCCAGTTACTCTCTCCCTGTCCAAGCTTGTCTGTCTTGTCCTTCGAAGAAATGTTTCTTGTCCCATCCCTGGCTCCTCTGCACTTTCCACGAGCAGCCAGCACAAGTTGAAGCAGCCCCAAGGCTGCTCTAATATATGATCAAGGAGGTTCTGCTGCTCCTGGCAAGTCCCAGCACTGAAAACCCATAAACGTGGAAGAAAGCCACGCTCTAGGGGAGTGAAATTCAGGCCATGCTGCTGTAATTTCTGGCTTTCTCCTCTCCTTGCACATGTGCACTGGCCACCCAGAGCCCCTCTGTTAAGCTGACAAGTATTTGGCAGCAGAGTCAACATTTTCTACTCATTCGAGGTAAACACCGCAAGCACTCCGAGGAACAGCCAGGATGATTTCTTGTGCTGTTTGCTGTGAGTCAGGAGTGTATTAAGTTTGCCCTTCATGCTCATAATGAAACCATTTACTCAAGAGCAAGTGATGGCTGTGAAAAGTGTAACAATGCAGCACCGCTCGGTGTAATTGTATTTTATAATGAATATCTGTAATAATTTGTCCAGTTTGTAATTATTGCTGCAATAGGTTTGTACACAGGAAAAACGGTTACCAAGCACGCAGCTGATCTTGCTCTGCCTTGATGAGTTAGGGGAAATTATCGTGTATTAAAAAAACTAATGAAGGATATAAAAATGCTCTTAGCTAAGCTTTCAAGGAGAACCTGGCAGAATTACTGGAATGGCACAATTTCAGAAACATTACTAACAAAATCAATAATTCTCCTGACAATTCCTATTGAAATGTACACCTCATCCTGCCCTCATGTATGAAAAAATAACTTTTTTTCAGGAAAGTTAATTAAAAGGGATGCCTTCTTAAATTCTGAGAGCAGCAGAGGTATCAAAATGTAAACTGCCTGTGGGTGTGCTCTGGCTTGCTGTGTGTGGCATACCTCAAAGCCCCATAAAATAATCCTCTCTCTTATGAAAAGAAACCAGGATGCCACTTAAAAAGGATTTTTCTGATACTTAGACCCAACACCAATAGGACTTCCTTGAATAATGTAGAATAATGGGGCATAGAGTGCCACTGCCAGGAGGTGGTGTTATTATGCAGTTTTCCAAGTGATCATTCTCGGGGGTGAACAAGTGCCCTGTGTTAGGTAAATGTGCCCTGCTGCTTTTTCTGCTGTAGAAGGCTGTTAGAAAAAAGGGCAGGAAGAACAAATGCCAAGTCCACTCTCTGTATGAATCTCCAACCAGCAAGAATTGCTGAGGCAAATTTGTCCCTGGGATGAGACTGCAATCCTGGAGAAAAGGATTACCTCCTAATGGTGTTTGAGAAGCAGCAAGTATATGAAAATAACACAAGCTATTCTTAGAGCATGCCTGATCTGCATCACACTGCCTTTTGCCTGCTACAACCCTCCTCTGCAGGGTCCTGCACGCATGTGGCCATGTGGAATTTTTTGATCAGTGGAGAAGGAGGAGGATCAGGCAACTGCACAGTTTATCCTGCCTCAAAGTAAGGACTGCTTTCTACAGTAATCTAGGATGTGCACTCATATCACCCTGCTCTTCCTGGACCCTTCAATATGGTCTCTGCCTCTCACTCCTGCTATAGAGAGGCGGCTGTGAGGATGTGGGCAGCAACAAGCTACCATGGGGCTGTCTGTGAGTCTGTGGAATTCTGCCTGTGTTCCTGGTGCCCTCACCTAGTCCTGTGCTCCTGCTGCATTCGGGGTGCAGCTCTATCAGCCTGCTGCCCACAGTCCTCTTTTTCAGAGGTACGGGTTGCTGTGCGAGGCTATTTTCTTGCATTACAAGACATGGTGGGAATGAGGCAGAGGTGGGTGGCTGGCAGAGCCAGGACAGCTTGGCTAAGGCTCACAGAGTGATGTGGACCGACTGCAGCACTGAGCTCTGCTGAGCTGCCCTGGACTTTACCAGCTAGACACAGTAGGCTGAAGAGACCCAAAGTCCTGACAGCGCAAGTACACTCTGAAATTTGGATTTAAAATCTCTCTCTCCTGTGGCCCAGAGGCTCTTTCAGCACAAGCTGTGATAGTGCTTGTACAACAGAAAACCAAAGGGACACTGATTATCACTCTGAAACCCCCGGTGCTCAGTCACTGCAGGGCCAGGAACCAGGAGTCCCAAATCCATGAGACAGAGGGAAAAATCAGAAGATTAAACCATTAAACATTTTCTTCTCCTTGTGAGAATCTGTGGTCAATCTAGATGGTGTTTCCAAGATGTCTCTTCTAGACAGAGGTCTAGAATCAGCTTTGATTTGGGGCTGACAGTGGTGTGTGTGCCATAATCTAATGTCTCCAGGAGCCAAACACTCCAGATCCCATGACTGTGCAAGACCACAGCCCTTAAAAAGATGGATTTTTTCTTCCTGTTTTGACCCTCAATCACACTGCAGGTGGGAAAAAGCAATTTCTGGAGAATCTCTCCAACACATTTGAATGCATGGGGATAGAGGTCCTGTGTTGGTCTAAACAACCAGCCTTGACACCCCTCCCTGTCCCTTCCTCCCTGCCTCCTGCAGGGACCCCCAGTGATACCATGGGGCAAGTTTGCAGCAAAGCACAGCTGCTGCTGGTCCGTTTCACCTGAGCTAAAGAACCCTGCTTTGGCATGAAGACTGAGGGCCCATCCAACTGTCTGCACTTCTGTACCAGAAACTGCACTTCCTTGAGTCTGTAGTCAAAGCAATTGCTGAGGGAATGAGTTTCATCTCATTTCCGTGTACTGGAAATCAAAGAATAAAACACATCTTGCAGAATTGCAGCTCCAGCTCTTCTCCTCTTGCAGACACCCAGCAGCAACGAAAGAAGGTTGGTAACTTTGGCATACAAAGCTCTGCCCTCACTCCAAGTCCAATGCTCTCTGTCAGGAGTCATTTCAAACCATATTTCATTCGAACCATAAAGGTCTTTTGTCAGAATGTTCCCACACAACCCTTAGTTACAATAGCCCATGGAAAAGTCCTTTTGGCTGGTGATGGGGCACCAAAGAAGAGCTGATACACCCCATCAGACCCAATGACTGGCCAACACAGCCTCTTCTTGTGATAACAGCCAAAACCACCTTGGAGTAGGAGGACAGGCACATAGACATTATTTCCAACTGATCCTCTCCCAGCCCCAGCCATCTGTGCCTCAGGGGTTTCCTAGACAGACCAGGTTTCTGTGTACTTAGCTATGCTCTGCAGATTTCCCACATTGCCCTTTGAGTTTCTGTAAGCTTTTGGCATTTGCAGCATCCCATGTGCCAGGGAGAGCAGTGTGATTGCTAACGCCAGCTCAGTGTCGCGGACAGCAAAGGAAGTGATGTGCACTTGACATAAGCACGCCAGCCCACCTGCCATTTTCTGGGCACATCTCTGGAAAGGGCAAGAGAGAGTGCCCAGATGTCTGCCTGCAAATGACACAGCAATAGCAGGACAGGGCTGCAAGTCTCCTGTCAACGGGAAGCGAACTGGCTTTGTGCAATGGCAAAGGCAGGGCAAAGAAGAGAACTAATAGAGCACAATGCCAGCTGGGGAAGGCACTTGCTTTAGCTTTGAGAACAAGTTGGACCAGAAACCTTCTAAT